GTAATTTGTGCAACTAAATTTGTGTAACTAGTTTATGTAACCGAGACTTTCTTTGAACTCAATTCTTCTTAGTGTAATATTTCTTCCTCAATTATATTAAAAACAGTTATATTAAAAACTTTTTCTTTCATAGTTTCAAAGCCTTGTTGATATTAAGATATTCATCAGATAGTGACTGCAATAAAGCTAATTCTTTAAGAAAATAATGTTTTTTTATATATTTCTGTTATTAAATTAGAATATTTCTCATTTTTACATATTATAAGTAGATATTAATATGTTTATTATGTATATAATACTTTATTTTTGACATTTAAAACTGATAATTATATTAAGAATATTATTGCATTCAGAGCTAATCTTTAGAGCTATCTTTTGTTTCAATTTAAAAACAGATCTTTAATTTAATATATAATGTTTTCAGATATCCAAGATAATTATAAGATTTGCTTTTACAATCGGCGTTTTCATTTTTTGGACCTTACACTCAGTAGCCAATGACGACATCTTCCCAAAAATTCCAGATTATGACGATTTGTGCAAGGATGGCGTGATCTCTTTAAACTTCTCCAATACAAAGATGTCTGATATTGGTTCCGATTTCATCAGCAGTCCACTGATTGTTTGCCTTAACTTTACAAATAATCATGTTGAAAGAATCGCGCCAAACGCATTTAGAAAACTTTCAAGTTTAACTAATCTTTTTCTTTCTAATAACGAACTTGGCAATCCAGATCAACTCTTCAGTTTCGGTGGTCATAAGAAATTGAAGGTTCTCATTCTAAATAACGCAACACATAGTACATATTCAATACCAACTATGATTTCCGGAGAGTATCCTAATTTAGAAATTTTAATTGCCCGCAACAACAGCTTGTTTGATCTAAAAAAAAAATTATTATTTCAATTTTATTTTGTTCCTGCATTTTCAGATAACCCATTTCCTAAATTAAAAATTTTAGATCTCTCCGAAAACAAACTAAAATATACTACTTTTGTAAATTTTCTACCAAACAGCTTACAATATCTAAATCTACGCAATAACAACATACCTTCTTTGCAATTAAAAAAAAAGGGAGAAAATCTACTTGCTCTAAATATGGATAACAATGTATTGTACGACGTGGGATATTCATATCTAACACTGAAACGTTTGAAAACCTGAGCTATCTTTCTCTCTCCGAACATAATTAAACTAGTCACTTCAGACGCTTTCCGTCGAACATCCAACAAATTGTCGTACTTAAATCTATCTGCAAATAACATAGACAGTCTGTATCCAGATACGTTTGCGAACCTACAATTCTTGAATACGCTCGACCTAAGTAATAACAATCTTAAAAATATTCCGCAGATTTCAAATGTAATAAATATCACTGTTCTATATTTAAGTTGCAACGAAATAGAAAGAATATTCTCGCATGCTTTTATACAAACACCAAAACTGACAAAGTTGTTATTAGGAGGGAATCAAATTAATCAAATTGATGCTGAAGCGTTCACTTATCTCTCTGTTCTGGAAGAGCTAGATTTGTCGGGAAATAAATTAAGTTCTTTACCGAAAAATTGGACAGAATCAATTGTATCTCTGAAATACTTGGATTTGAGTAATAATACATTCATTTCACTAGAGTCTTTATCTCTAACGAGTACGTTGCCGTTGATCGAACTGTATATCGCGATGAATTCGCTAGGACGTCTAAATATCAGATATTTTGAGAATTTGCCGCAAACTCTTACTGTAAACTTAGAGCAAAAATCAAATTTTTCACAGCTCTGCAGACATAGATAATAAGATTTTGATGCTATAAATATACTTATTTATCATGTTTCATTGCATAAATTTCGACATTTGCGAGATATATTTTGCATAATTTGAATTTTTCGATATAAATCAGCCTGTAATCTTATGTAACGCATTTATGACTGTAATAATCATTAAAATGTTCACTCAAAATTTTTCATAGTTATTTATGTAATTACTTACGTATTTTAATTTTATACTCTTGTAAGTATAATTTTATACATTAAATAGTTTTATAATCTGTTCTTTGTATAAAACATACATATGTTTTACAAAATAATAAAAAAAAATATAAATAAAACAATTAATGTTGATTTAAGTTTTAACCAGCTCCATAATGTTCCGTAGATCTCAAACGAAACAAACATCAATATTTTATTTTTATATTTTAGTTATTACAAAATAGAGACAATAATTTTGAATGCCTTTGTGCAGGCACCAAACTTGATAAAAATATTATTAGGGGAAAATCAAATTGATGAAATCAATGCTGAAGCGTTTAATCGTCTCTTTGCTCTGAAAGAGTTAGATTTGTCGAGAACTAAATTAAGTTCTCTATCGGAAAGATGGACTAAGTCTTTCATGTCCTTGAAATATTTATATTTGAGCGATAATGCATTCACTTCGCTGGAGTCTTTATCTCTCATAAATGCGTTGCCGTTGATAGAGCTATATCTGGTGATGAATCCGCTGTAGTATATAAATGTGAGATATTTCAAGAGTTTGCCACAAAATTTTACTGTGAACTTAGCGCAAAGATCAAAATTTACACAGTCTTGCAAAAATAAACAATTAAATTTTTATAATATAGAGATCCAAAATTGATTTATTATATTTATATTTATGGTTTACTGCATGTAATAGAATTTTGACAATTACGCAAGATATATTTTGACATAATTTAAATTTATCAATATCAATTAGTTTATAATTCAACATAATATGTTTATGATTGTTCTTAAATCATTTAATCGAAATGTATAATGGTATTCTGATAATCACTTATATTAATGTTCTTATTTTGAATTATAGATATATTTTATGGTATACTTGTTACATAAAATATAAATGTGAATATATTGTATAAAACAATAAATAAAAGAACAGCATGTAAAACAAAACAATTGTACATTTAATAAATATTTGCCTCAATGTTTTAAAATATTATTTTTAAGAAATAAGAATTTTTTACATGTATTTTGCTGCTATAAAGTATTTTTTACATATTTACAATTTTTTATATCTTGTATTATAAATAAATATTTAATAAAAGCAATAAAAAAAATATATAGTAAGGTAATTAAATATGAGTGTTAATAGAGATTTTAATATTTCATATGTTGCAATGTGCGTGTTTTTGATAAACTTTGACTCTTACGTTATCTAGATAAATAAAAAATAATGAATCTTAAAATAGATAATTTCTCTTTAATGAGATAATCAGGGTTACACGATAATATAATTGCGAGCAGTGTTCAAAGTGTAGTGCTTACAAGAAGTTCGTTGCGAGTAATTAAAAAAATCATTGCTTTCAATGTATTTTTAACAAAAGTTATTAACAAAAATACAATACAGTCTAAAAATTGCAGTACAAAAAATATCAGCAACAATGGTAAGCCACATTTTTATATTATTTTTTAGAAATGTACGCATAATTTTTTTATATGTTGTATAACAAAAAAATTTATATTTTTATTTTTATAACATGTTTCTCTCTTGTAGTAAATATTTTATGAAATCTGTATTTAATAGATTTGAGTACTGGATTATATTATAAATATGTAAAAATTCGAATTATTAAAAAATATACTTAATAATAACTTAAATTTTAATTTTACTGTTAATCAAATTTTAATAATTATTTATTTGAATTTCTCATAAATTGCTCATAATGTTTTTACATATAAGATTTTGCTTATCAATGTTAATACTTTTAAAATAGTTTTATATATTGTCTTTAATTTTTACTTTATTGTTAAAACTGTAATTTTTATATTATTAATAAGATTTCACAATTTTGCATT